ATGATATTCATAAAGCACTGAAGGGAAGAAAATATTCTTAATATTTTTCATAGTCTTTCAACCTCACAACAGTAGTTCTCAGACCTAGCTGCACATTGGGATCTCTGGAGTTTTGTGGGTTTTTTTTAAGATTTTATTTATTTGAGAGAGAGAGAATGAGAGACAGAGAGCATGAGAGGGAGGAGGGTCAGAGGGAGAAGCAGACTCCCTGCTGAGCAGGGAGCCCGATGCGGGACTCGATCCAGGGACTCCAGGATCATGACCTGAGCCGAAGGCAGTCGCTTAACCAACTGAGCCACCCAGGCGCCCTCTGGAGAGTTTTTTAAATGTTCCATGTTTAGAGCCACCCCCCCTCCCCAAACCAGCTAGATCAGAATCTCTGGGAATAGAGCTTGGACAAGGGTATTTCTCAAAAATTCACCAGGTGACTCTAAGTGCAAGTGATTCTAAGGCAGGGTCTAAGTGTGGACCCTGGTTCAGCGGTAACAAACATGGAGCTCGATAGAAATGCCAAGTGTCAACCCCCACCCCTAGACCTATAGAAATAAATACAGATTTATCTGTACTTTAACAAGTTCTCCAGGAAATTTGGATGCCTGCTTAAGTTTTAAAAGCCTTGAAGAAGAATCTCTCTCTCTCATAACATTTTGTTCACTTTATTGTTATAAAGATTCAGTGGTTCTGTGAAAGGGTTCGTTATCTTTTGGTGTGGTGACTTACTGTCTCTTAGAAGACCATGGAATAACTTCTGTGTGATTGACCGAATGAAGCAGAGGCCAACGCTAGTGGAGAATGCCATTCAAGTCCCAAGGTCTCGCTATGACTTATGCTCAAGTTTCCCCTGCAACAAAGATCATATGTGGAAGCTTTTGTTTGTTCACTCGTCTTTAGAAGACTTCATGTAGGTTTTTCTAAGTTGACAAATGTTTTAGATCAGAACCAGAAGTTTCTTGCAGAGGAATTTTTTAGGAAAGAATATCTCTTTTCGGAAAAAAGGTTTAGATCTAGATTCCGAGATGAATCTAAAGATGGATCTAAATATAGATTAATAAAATATTTTTTTTTAATTTAAAAAAAAATTTTTTTTATTTGAGACAGAGAGAACGAGAGAGAGAGCACATGAGAGGGGGGAGGGTCAGAGGGAGAAGCAGGTTCCTTGCTGAGCAGGGAGCCCGATGCGGGACTCGATCCTGGGACTCCAGGATCATGACCTGAGCCGAAGGCAGTCGCTTAACCAACTGAGCCACCCAGGCGCCCCTAGATTAATAAAATATTTTAAAATTAATAATATTTGGATTTTAGCAATGTCTTCAGTCGCATTTAAGTTTATTTTTCTTATAGCTGAGTAAAATTAAGTTGATTAACTTGGGTATAGCATGCATAGAATGATCCCATTACAATAAAAGTAGTTCTGTATCTATCTGCAAATATACAGAGAAAGATGTTCATTTGATGTTATTTATGACTGGTGAGATTTGAGGTACTTTTTGAATTTTCTTCTCCTGTACTGTTGAAATTCCTGAAAATGTAAATTATTTTTCCAAAAATACTGAAGTGATTTTTTAGTAAACAAAACAAAACAAACCCAAATCCTCAATTCATTAATTTGACCAGGATAATCAGGATCTGTGTACCAGCTCACACCAACCAGGTTCACAGAGACTGTGAATCAGAATTGCAATACATTAATTAACATACCCAATCCTAGATCTAAGATATGTCATCCAGAGATGACTTTTCCAGGACTATATTTACTCAGGATTCTGAACTACGTATTAGAGGGTTGCTTAATAGAAAACCATAGAATTAGAGAAAAGGCAGTAGGTCTGATCTTTTTAGGGAATTTCTTTGAAACTATCATTGGCTAAAGATTTGTCCTTCAATGAAGCAATTATCCTTTGTCAAGAACTGTTTTCTCACCCTAAAATCAAGACTCCATCTTCCCATCCTAAATATTTACTATAAGGTACAGTTTCCCAAGATTATGATTGATATTGCTTACACTGGAGGACTTTCCAAATCACAAATGTAAAAAAGTCATTTCTGACAAGATCATCTTCAACTCAAACCTAAATTTAATATCCATGGTAGCTACGATATCAGAAGTTGGCATTTCATATTTATCTCTGCAACCTTGGGTTTATCTCACTAGGGGGTTGTTTGAGCCTTCTGGGTACTGAATACATCCTGTTCATGAGGAACAAAAAGAGTACATGCAATGTAAGGAAGTAGAGCCTGTGGGGCTTTTTTTCTTTTTAAAAATTTAATGAAAAACATAAGTTAAATTCAATCCAAGGTTTATAAAGTGATTAATTATTGTCAGTATATCTCATATCTTTCTTTATTAAAAAGAAATAAACATTCCACTCCTTTCTTGCATTGACTTGGGTTGAACTCTTTCATGGGGGAGTGAGGAGCAGAGATTTTCCACTCCACTAATATAAATGCTGCCGGATGTGTTAGTGTCATAACTTAGAAATTCAACTCAAGATCGGGGGATATTTTTCTCTGGGCAAGGACTGTCTTCCTCTAATTTTTAAGTAACTAAATCATGATGTATCAAATAAATTTAAGTTTTTAAAAAATTATTATTCCATTAAGTTTATGTATATGGGCTTTGAATCCTAGTAGGATAGAATTCTAGCTCTCCTGTTTTCTAGCTAGAGATCCAGTGTAAAACAAAAACCCTTTATTTACTTCATTTATAAAACAGCAAAAACATCACTTACCTACTTTTTAGGGTTTTCCTAATGCTTGCAAAGTAATATTAAACGTTGAGAGTACATAATAGGAGCTCAATAAATGAAATCCATTTGATAATCAAAGATGTTTAGAAGTGCTCATCCAAATAAGAGTTCATCAAATTTTTGTTGAGAGTAACTTTTCTCCTGTTTCCCATTTCTCAAATCACTGACCACACTTGGAGTAGTTGGTCAGAAGATAGAAAAAGTACAGGTAATATCTAAGTCATTCTCCTTTGAAATTCAGAAGTAAGCACAAACATATCCACATACGTTTACTTGGTTATCTTCCAGGAATGAATGCATTGTGATAATGCATACAAACACATACATATTCATAATGTATTTTACACATTAATATAAAGCATTCAAGGACATGGAACATGTTCATTCTCCTGCATCTATTTTTGCTTTCTTCCTATTTCCTCCCATCCCTTAAGAATTTGGGCTCTCTTCTCTCTCTACTTTTTTTTATCAGGAGAAACACAGGCCTTGCTAGGCAAATGTTTCTCCAAGTTCTAGGTCTTGTCAGTATCTTTTTCTGGAACTACACACCTGCTTCCAACCACCTATTTGGCATCTCCATCCTGATGGCACCCTAAACTGACTATACCCAAAGTTGCATTCATTATCTTATTCCCCCGCCAAATAGGACCTCCTTCAGAGAATCTTATGTTTAAGATTGGAAATGAGATGGTTTTGACTCTTCCTCTCCTGATACCCTATGCTAATCAGTTAATTTGAAGTCCTTTGCCATGATGTCTTAATTACCTAGTCTCTCCTTCCCATTCCCGTTTCTACCTTTCTACTGAGAGATTCTTACCTCAATTTTTATAACAACCTCCTAAATGCTTTCCCTACTCCAGCCCCCTCCCGTTACAACCTGGCCTACCAACACATTATACACAACACATTGTGAAACTTCCTCAATCACAAACGCAATAATTTACTTTCATTCTCAAAATCTGCCATTGTGAAACAGGAAATATAAACTCAGGCTTGGCATCTGAGGTTCCCTACCAGGTGTCATCAGGTTATCTTTTGAGCCCTATCGTCTTTGATTCTTTTTACTCTGAGGGTGTATAAATGAATGGCCCCACAAAGGCAGATCTAGTTTGCACGTGTAATTTTCTTTGACCCACACATGATTCTATACATTTGGAATTAGTTGCTTATTTCACTTAGTTGCTAACTTTACACATTGCCACATGACACAAAGCTAGGCAGTGAGTGGCCTCTTAAATGGAGAAACATGCCCTGGTTCACCATAGCCTTCATCTGATGGGTGCTCTACCACTCGATCTGGTCCTGGCTGGGTGCCTGTAAGCACGTGAATTTATGACACTTGCCCTATACTACCTAGTGCCCCAGCCAAATGCATCATTCCCAAATGCACAGCATGTCTCTGCTTATGTTATTCCATCTTTCTAGAAATGCCCTCTCCCTCCATCTTTCCTGTCTTTAAGGTTCATTTCAAACACTGTTACCTTCTGTGAAGCTTTCTTTGACCACCCCAATGGATGTTACTGCCCTGTTTTTGAAACTCTGTAACACTTTGTGGTTCTCTTATGGCCTATATCCCACTCTTCACTGGATCAGTCATTGGTATCCTTGATTTCTTCCCATATCTCAGGGAGGTGTATTGATGGGTGCTTGTCCCCCACTCCTCAAGGCTTTCTGAAAGAGGGGTTTTCCTCTTGGCCTAGACCTTCCTTCCTCCTCCCTACAGAGATGGAGCAAGTTTCCATCTCTCCCCTCTGGGGATCTTCCTGTCCACACAGTAGAAATGCCTTGCTCTACTTGGCAGGAAAGGCCCTGATGTGGTGGGTGAGCTTGTCAGTAATGACTGAATGTGTACATTTGTCCAATTCTGAAGTTCAGGATTAGGAGGCCCACTGTTGCCACACATCTAAGACAGGATTTTCCTTCCAGGTTTTACCAGCAAACAAAGCTATATTTTTATCTGCTTGAATACTTATCTCACAACTGTTTTCAAACTCAAGCAGGGAAAAGGAGGTGTTCTCATTGGACATCTCTAAGCCCAATAATGATTCACTCTGTCTTGAATCCTCTGCAGCAACTAGCAAAGTCATTCACTGTAAAGATAGGCACTCAAAACACATGTATCAAATTGAATCAAAGGGTATAATCAATATGTTTAAAATTCATGGAATGTAATTTCTCCCATGTCATGTCCCCATAAACCATAACTTAAATGTCTTTTTGTAGATGTTAAAGAAATGCAAATGATTCTGTATATTACATAAAATATTTATTTCTTATTTACATTTCCATTTTTATGTAAATCATTGCACATAATATTACATATCAAAAAGAAAGGAAAAGATATATAAACCTTAGACATCAGTGAAGAAAGCACTGCACCATGTGATACTTATCAGCAGTCTCACGGGTCTCGTTTCTTGCTCTTTTTGGATTTTCTAGTAGTTTCTTGACGAATGGTATCATACTCCAATATGGCCATTTTGGAAAGTCTCTGTAAGTATTGAGATGATGCTCCAGCAAGAGGATCGCTGAAGCCAGAACCTGTGAAGAAAAAGAAATCAACTATTAAAATTAAGCACACTGAAATGATATTCTCTAAAATACAGGGCAAACAAAATCTCTCTTCCTCAAATGACCATTAAACACTGCTAGTTCTTGATATATCACATTAGTTGAAGTAAAAATAGAAAATATTTACTTTCTAAAGTGATTGTGATGTCAAGTCATCTCAAAAATATTTAACTACGGGTGCCTGGGCGGCTCAGTCGGTTGGGCGTCTGACTCTTGATTTGGTTCAGATTATGATCTCAGGGTCATGGGATCGAGCCCTGCATAGGGCTCCACTCAGCAGGGGGCAGGAGGGGTCTGCTTGAGATTCTCTCTCCCTCTCCCTCTGCCTCTCCCCCCACTCATGCTCTCTCTCTAATAAATAAATCTTTTTTTAAAATGTAACTAAAAAATCCTATAATACTCATATTTAATTATATAAAACTAAATCTGAATCTATAATGTACTTTTTAAAACATGGGATGGCTGTGGAATTTATTCCAAAGCAAAAGAAACAGTCTCCAAAAATAATTAACTTGTTTCATACCTTATATGTTCATCAAGTTATTTTCTCCAAATATACCATTTCTCATAAATGCTAAGTTTAGTAAAATAGTAAAACTGTAAAGGAAAATGAATCATTCACTAACTGAACAGCATACTCAAGTTTCTATTATAGAGTGGTAGTAATAATAGTAATAGATAACATATATCAAATGATCTCTCTGTGCCAAGTACTTATATTTATTTCACCCACACAACACTATGAAGTAGGCAATTAGTACTCTCTTAGACCACAGATATAAAAAGAAGGTTTAGTGGGGCTAAAAAACTTGCCCAAGGGCAAAGGATTTGAATCCAGATTCATCAAATTCAAACTTCCCATGCAATCACTACATATTGCCCTAAATATGTAAAGATGTATAAATACTTCTATTTTGAAACATATAAAACTTTGAAAATAATGTACTGATTCAAACTGTTTTAAAATATTATTTAATTTCAAAACAGTCAAGTGTCAAAAAAAGCTATCTACAATTCTCCAGTGTGGTTATTTTTGGTTTGTTTTGTTATTTGAGTGCATAACATAAGTAGGAAGTTCAGAGAAAGACAGAGGGTAGAGGGAAAGAATATAATCGGGATACTGGTTCTTAGCAGTACAATGACCCTGATACTTAGAAAAACTCTCTGGCTACAAATTAACTGGATTCTAGATATTAACCAAATGTCAAAAAGTTTCAAAAAACTTCAAACTTTATACAAACCAATACAATTAAGTTGGAAGTTGTTAACAATAAGATAAATTTAAAATCCTCAAATAGTTAGAAATTTATACACACATTTTAGATTATTCATCAGTCAAAAAAGAAATCGTAATAAACATTAAATTATTTGTAACTAAATGATAATGAAAATATTACAAAACTTCTGTGACGCAGCAAAAGTTATACATAGAGAGGTTTATACCTCAAATTCCTATGTTAGAAAAGAAGGCTTAAAAATTAATAAGTTAGGTATAAGATATACATTAGGAAAATAATAAACCCAAAGAACATAGAAGAAAAAGATAATACAGGAAAGAGAAGAAATCAATGAAGTAGAAAACAAATTTACAATAAGAAAGATTTTTTAGAAGATGAGTTCTTCATTGAAGATAAAAATAAAGAAAAGTCTCTGGGGAGATTAATTAAGCAAAAAAGGCAGAAGGCACAAATAAATAACACTAAAAGAAGAGGGACACATAGAGCATGTGACTCTTGATCTCAGGGTTGTGAGTTCTAGCCCCACATTGGGTGTAGAGATTACTTATAAACAAAATCTTTAAAAAAAAGAAGAGGGATAGAAGTACAGATAAAACAAAAACTAAACTTTATGCCAATATATCTGAAAATTTAGACAAAATGCAAAAAATTTTAGAAAATATAACTTACCAAAATTGATTGAAGAATTAGAATGCCTGAAAAATCCTAAAATTAAAATGATTGAATCAATATTAAAATAATAATTCTTGCCTTGCTGTCTGTTTTGTTTGATGTTAGTGTAGCTACACAATCTTTCTTTTATTAATGTTTGCATGATTTGTATTTTTCCAACCTCACACTTTTGATCTTTCTTGCCCTTAAGTTTAAGGTATGCCTCTTGCAAACAACATACAGTTATTTTTCTCATTCTGATACTTTGTTTTTTCATTGAAATATTTAGTCTGCTTATATCTAATGTAATTGTTGTTATGTTTAATTTTAAATCTTCAATCTTGCTAATTGTTTTCTATTTGTCCTATATGTTTTATGTTTCCTTTTTCCTCCTTTCTTGTCCTCTTCTGAAATGATCAAGTGTTTTCTCACTTTATATTTCCCCTCTATTAGCTTGCTACTTGTATTATTTTATTATTCTTTTATTGGTTACCATACAGATTATCACATGTCTCTGTGACACATTACAATCTACTTTACATTAGTTATTTTACCATTTTTCAAATAATGCGAGTATCTTACAATACTTTAACTCCACGTATGCCCCATCCTACCTGTGTGCTACTATTGTCAAGTATTTTATTTCTACACAGATTTTAAACTTCATAATACTACAGTTACTGCTTCTCATTGTTTTCCAAGTTGTTGTACTTCCTTTTTGTATAATTTCTTCCTTAATATTTTTTAGTGAAGCTCTGCAGACAATAAACTCTCTCAACTTCTACTTGAATGAAAATGTATTTGTTTCACTTTTACTTTTAAGGGTATTTTCACTGGGTATCCAATTCAAGTTTGGCAGTTATCTCTTTTTAGCCCTTGAAAATGCTATTCCACTTTCTTCTTGCTTCCATTGTCTACACTTAAAAAGTCAGTTGTATGTCTTACCATTGCACCTTTGAAGGTAACATATCTTTTCTCTGTTTTCTTGTTTTGTGTGTGTTTTTTTAACTTAGTCTTTTTATTATGATGTGCCTAGCTATGGTTTTCTTTGTTTCTATCCTGCTGAGGGCTCACAGAACTTCTTGTATTGTTGGCTTTGTATTTTTCATCAAAATTGGGAACTTATCAGCCAGTATGTAAATATTGTTTCTGTCCTACCTTGTTTATACTGGAATTAGAATTACACATGTGTGAAGCAGGTTTACCTTGTCACATAATGACTTGCACACTCTCTTCTGTATTATCTTTTTTCTCCCTTCACTTTAATTGGGTATTTTCTAATGATCTTTCATTTTACAAATCCTTTCATCTGTTGCTTTCCATTTCTCCCCCAACTTTATTGCAGTATATTTCACAAATAAAAGTTGTATATATTTAAGGTTTACAACACAATGACTTGGTATACGTATATATTATGAAATGATTACCACAATTAAGTTAATTAACACATCCATCACCTCACATAGTTATCTTTTCTGGGAAAGTAACTGGGTTCTCATCTGGGAAGATGAGAACACTTGAGACCTACTCTCTTAGCAGATTTCAGTATACAATTCAGTATTATTAACTATAGTCACCATGCTGTACATTGGATCCCCAGAACTTATTCATCTTAGAACTGTAATTTTGTATCAACATCTCCCCATTTGCCCCACTCAAAACCCTGGTAACCACCATTCTATTCTGTATGTTTGACTTTTTTTTTTTTTTTTTAAGATTCCACATATAAGTGATTGATTCCATTAGGAACAAAGTCTCATGCAGCATTCGTCTTTCTCTGTCTGGCTTATTTCACTAAGCATAATGCCCTGTGTGTTTAACCATATTGTCACAAACAACAGATTTCCTTTTTTACTGCTATATAATATAGGTATCCCAGCTTTTCAAAAGTTCATGTTAAGCCATTTTACTTCTATGAAAGATCTACATTAGTATCTGTTTTTGCTAACTGCCAAGAAATCCAATAAAGATTTTTCACTTTGATTTTAAAAAGGTAAAAACTGAAAATAGCGTTCAGTGTTTGTTTTGCAGCGAGCCATTATAGAGGTAGCATGCACCCTGAACAGTGAGGGTGGCACCATCAAGCTCCTTCCTGAACTACACTCAGCATCAAGCTGCCACAGCTTTCAAAAATTTCAAAGGTCAGAAACTCAAAGCAAGACTAGTATGCAGGCCATGCAATGGCCCACATGAGAGATGATGAGGGACTATCCCAAGGTCCTGAGATAATAAAGGTGTGTGTATAGTGAACATAACATGCACTTCGTTTATAAAATAAACAAAGCTTAAAAGAAACTTTAAAAAGAACAAAGCAGTTAAATCAGTGGAAAGAAAGGAAGTTAAAAAGAATAACAACCTCATAAGACATGTGGCAGGAGAAAAAAATGAGCCAACTTACTCTTTGGTTTCTCCTGAAGTGGTACCACAGTACAGGCCTTCTTAGTCTTCCTTATCCTAAAATTACGTATTATCATAAAATCACTTTTACATAAACCCAGGGTACGTTAATTTAAAAAATACAATAAGAGACAAGAAGCTGCTTTAAGCAAAACTCACTTGGTGAAGGACATCACATGGAAAGTAAATAAACATTAAAGTAAACTCATTCCATCATAACCAATCCAATCAGAAGCAGACAGGAACAACTCAACATTTCAGTTTTTGCTAATAAATTTTACCTGTAGGTAAGTGTTATGTCTAACTTTTCCCATATTTATCTTTATCTTAACTTTCTCTAAGATTGATTCAGGGAATGCTAAGAGGAAGGGAATCAAGATTAGATTAAGAGGGTATCTAGATAGGCCAATATCAACTATTGCCTACTTGTGCACATTTTACCTATTAACCACCACAATCTGAACTTTATCTTAATTAACTTCTGTTCCTACTGGAACAGACCTACATAACAAGTGGGCTATTAGAGGAAGTATGTCTTGACCGAACCTGCTATAGGTGAGATAATCTATAAGAATTGCAAATTTCCTGTAACTATATTAAACTTTAGAAGTCAGCCGGAACTCTTAAATGCCCTTCACTTCTAGGATTACTACTATAGTTATATTACCAGAGCGTGCCTTGAGAGTCACTGAAAGTGTATGATTATAATTAAATTTGAGGGGCGCCTGGATGGCTCAGTTGGTTAAGCGACTGCCTTTGGCTCAGGTCATGATCCCGGGGTCCTGGGATCTCTGCTCTGCAGGGAGCCTGCTTCTCCCTCTCTCTCTGCCTGCCACTCCCCGTGCTTGGGCTCTCTCTCTCTCTCTGTGTCAAATAAATAAATAAAAAATCTTTAAAAAAAAAGAAATTTGAAAAAACAAACTTTTATCAGCATTTTAAAAATAAATATTCACATATGGAGGGAAAAGAGGGGGTAAGGGGTTGTACACAAGACAAACAAAAATGCGTTACTTTCCTGGTTTGCCATGGCTGTTCATTCACGGGGCGCTGTGCAATATGCAGAGGAGAATAAAATACTTGCACGCAATTCAACATGTTCTCACTAGACTGGCTAAAATAAAGACACTTGTTTCAAAAACAGGGAAAAGAACTAACATTTACGTTTGCCAAGCACTTCATAAACATTATGGCACATAGCCACCACTCTTCCACTTTGTATATGAACAACACTTGTCATAACATGAATTTAATATATTCAAATTATCCTTCACTGGCTAGGTAAATTCACACTCAAGTCGATGTAAAATGGCGAGGAATCATTTCACAAACAGCCAAATTGCAAATGAAAAAAACCAAAAAACTGAAATAGAGTGAAAACAGTAGGAAGCAAAAGGAAGATTAAGAGGTAGCTGGGCTAATTTAGGGGGTGCTTTCTGGGTTTCCAGTTTCTTAAAGATAAGCATATGCAATGAAAGAAGGGTAACAAGCCTGATCTGTACTGAGACAAGTCCATTGCCAGACCCATCCCTACACCCTCCTCAGAGAGCCCTGAGACTCCCGATTAAAATGACAAGGGTGAGGGGACTGTTAGGGACAAGGGTGTCTCCGTAAGGATGGAAAGTCACTGTCCTTAAGTAGGTTTTATACTTCATGTTCCCAACTGTCTCTGTTCTTTCTACATCCCTGCCATCCCTCCTCTGTACCTATTACCATCTACTCCACTAGCAACTCGCTCGCTCTCTTCCACCATCCCTGATTCTGCCTTATTTCATTATAATCTCATGGAAGAAAGAGTGATTTTGCTTTTTATATTTTTACAGCTTGGAAATCTGTCCTCAGATAATATTAAGAATGATAAGGTGTGGTTAAGTAAACTATGGATCCATTAATGAGATACAATGTAACCGGTAAAGACTGTTTGAAGATGATGCAGTGACATGAAAAGAATGACTATGTGTAATAATAAGTTAAAAAGGCAAAATAAAAAATTGTAAGTACACTAAAATCATAGTGAAAACAAAAGTCCCCAAAAATGAAGAAGAAAAGAAGAGAATGAACACCTAACAATAAAAATGGATATTTTAGGATGGGTAAATTATCGAAATATTGTTTATCTTTTTTCTCCAAATTTTCTGCGAAGTTCTTATCTATTTTCATAATTTCGTAAATTATGCACAACTTTTCATTTTTAGTGTATTTTCATATGACCAAAACTTATTTCAAGAGTAATTAACAAGAACAATAATACTAGTAGGAAACTCAATAAGTATATTTTAAAACTCCTATATTTGTGTGCTGTGTGTAACTGGCTGACTTTAAAGCTCAGGGAATATGAAAATACCAATTTTCCCCTAAGGAGAGTAGCAACTCAGACTACTATAAATGAATCATCTTTTTTTTTAGGCTGGCAAAGTGAACAAGTCCTGGACATTCGATAAATCCCTGATGGATAAATAGATAAACCAAAGCAGCCACCAAATAGAATATGAGACTGTCTTACTAACTTATAGATCCCTTTGGAGAAAGGGGTTTTCTTTTAACAGTATGTCAGCCAGTCTGATTTATAAAAAGGAAGGTAATTATGATAATGGTTTTAAATGCCAATATTCAAAGTGAGTGGGACTTTTCTTTGACATACTCCTTGTCCAATTGTCAGCGCAATTCTTCATCAGGCTGTCATCTCATTTAGAACCTCCCCTCACACTACGTCAGTCAGACTAGAAACAAAACCCAAGGCACTATATTCAGCATACGGAAATCTGTTAATATTGCAGAGAGTTCATTTATTTTTATTGCTAAAAATTCCAATATTCTCATGGGCAATCCATACTAGGGCAACAAATATTTTTAAAAGGAAGTCCTTAAGTCCTTTCTGGCAATGTCCCTCGAAAACTGAGAAAAGGGCGTACTTGTCAAACCAAATAAAATTGCTACCTAGATTAAAACGTGAGATCCTTTATGAAAAAAATATCAGTGGGCAAGAAAGCCTTCAATTCACTAGGCAGGAAAACCTCTACCTTGAGCAGTATTACTACAGATACGTGTCGAACACAAGAGAACTGAAGAGCAATGGTCTACCTGACTGGAGGCATCTCGGTAGCAGCATGAAGCAGTCTTGGATGAACTTCCAGTGGAGGTGAACTTACACTTTTTGGGCAACTCTGCAGTCCTGGTAAATACGGCATTTTGACACATTCTTTGAACTCTTCTAGACCAAATGCTGTGGTATATTCTAATTAAAAATAGTATCATAATCAATGGTATTAATTCTTTTTTTTTTAAGATTTTTTTAAATTTATTTTTCAACAGAGAGAGAGACAGCGAGAGAGGGAACACAAGCAGGGGGAGTGGGAGAGGGAGAAGCAGGCTTCCTGCCGAGCAGGGAGCCCGATGCGGGACTCGATCCCAGGACCCCAGGATCATATCCTGAGCTGAAGGCAGACGCCTAACGACTGAGACACCCAGGTACCCCAATGGTATTAATTCTTGATGAAATGTATATAACTTCTTTTACCACATACTAAAATGCATAATACAATATACTTAATCAGTCATTAAGTAAAGAAAATAAAGCTACTGTAATTTATCTAGTATCTTTCCCAAGAGAATACCTTTCAATTCCTACCATAGGGATTGTAGGGAGGAGTTGATTCAGGGGCTGATTCAGAAGTAGAACAAGGAAAAAGGACAGCTTCACAGATCTCCCACAGTTGTCACTGTCCTCCACCCTCATTATTTTATATAATTAGAATTTCCAGAATATTAAAGAAATTCACATTGAAAGAGTTTAAAAGCACTTTTAAGAGTCTTGTGTTATCTGCTATTTTAAACCTTTCTACCTTCCTGCTTTTATGTAAATAAGAGGTATAAATACTTGATTATTGAGTTAGCAATGAGACATTAAAGAATTTTATTTCAGGCATTGATTTTAATTTTCTCAGGGGTGCCTGGGTGGCTCAGTTGCTTAAGTGTCTGCCTTCAGCTCAGGTCATGATCCCAAGGTCCTGGGATGGAGCCCCGCATTGGGCTCCCTGCTCAGTTGGGAGTTTGCTTCTCCCTCTCTCCTTTTCTCTCTGTTGCTCCCCCTGCTTGTTCTCTCTCTCTGTGAAATAAGTAAATAAATAAAATCTTAAAAAAATAATAATAATTTTCTCTCTGCAAAATTTCACACAAATCTATAAACACTAATATTGAAGCATCAAGATTGCTTCTCCTACTGACCTCACATAAAAGAGATTATCAAATTATTTAAAAACAAAACAAAACTTCAAAATGAAGGCAATAAATGGGCAAAAACAGATTAAGAAATTAAAGGTTCAGGTGATCATTAAACTAATTGTAGAGAATTGTCTCTTAAGCTTTCTCTACTAAGCAAGTCTAACACAGCAATAAAAATAGTATCTAATGGGACTGGAGTTATATTAAATGCTCCAAATGCTATTTTGCAACCTTTAATTTTTCTTCTTCTGGAAAAAAAAAAAGTTTCTCCTGATCAAAAAACATACAAATTCTCTTTTCCGCAATTGTATTTGGGGGTAAAGGACAGATAAATTTATGTCTTCTGAGTATCTTTAATGGGAATCTAGTGAAAAGTTGAAAAAATAGAGCAACACACTCAAAACCAGGAGCAATGAAATGGGTTGAGGAGTTTGGATTTTACTATTTTCAAGAATTACATCTCTATTTATAAAGCTGAAGGCAGAATTCAGCATAAACAAGAGATACAATTATAATTTGAAATTTGAAATATAAATTGAGATTAAGCTATTAATATATTCATACACATGTCAAAAGTCCTCAGATTAGTCTTCATTGAGCAACGGTAGAATATAAGATACTTTCCACATAATGTTTTGGTTAGAATTATGAATACAAAAAGATGCTGTTAAAGATTTGGCTTTCTTAAAACATAAAAACCAACTTGAGGTATTTAAAAACAAACACAATTTGTGAAAAGTAATATGACCCAACAGAGATAGCACTGCACTGATACCAAGAGAAGTAGTTCTTTAAAATTTGTTTCCATCATGAGCTACAGAATTACATTAAAGTAAATTAATTTTAATTTGCTTCCATTTTTATTTTCCATAAACTTAGGATATTATCCTTCCATAAATGTTACAGAAATTATAAGATGTCTCCTGACTGCTTAAAAAAGTACATGTGTTTGTTTAAGGCACTATTTCTATATTTTCTTCAGTAAAATAATTGTAAAAATGAAGTTACCTTTCTTCATCTTTTGTGTTTCTAAAACTGCTTTCCTCCAACTACTCTCAAAAAGAAAACAACTGTCAAGGGAATTTCTGGTGACGTTAGAAGTAGCAAATTTGATTTCAGGAGAGAGGACTGGCATTTTTTCTTCTTCTTTCAACAGTGCTGATGAAAGTGAGATGCTGCTTCAGATTCAGGACACAAAATGAAAAAAAAAGTATTTCAGAGATAGATATTTTTTCTAATTTGTTTTCCATCATATAGATTAAATACTAACATAGGCTTACATGGAAAGTTCACTTACAACATGTAAATACATATTCTTGGGATTTTAAAGTAAGAGGCCGTTAATAATAGAGCTAAAATTGGTAGTAAGAGTTTTTTCTTTTAAATATTTTAATAAGTTCTTTCAAATCCCTGGTCACAGATATTTAGGAATATAAAAAAAAAAATTAAAGTCCAACAGCAAGTTATGGTGCACGAGACAAGAAAATGTTTAGGATTCTCTCAAATATATTACCGTTGCACACAATGACCAAGTGGGACTTATCTCTGGGATGAAAGGTTAGCTCAACACACAAAAATTAATGTGATATACCACTTTAACAGAATAAAGGATTAAAAAGTCACATGATCATCTCAATAGATGCAGAAAAAGCATTTGATAAAATTCAACACTCTTTCATGATAAAAACTCTCAGCAAACTAGGAATAGAGAGAAATTATCTCAACATAATAAAGGCATGTAAATCCCACAGTTAACGTCATACTCAATGGTAAAGAATCAAAAGTTTTCCCTTTAAGATAAGGAATAAGGCAAGGATGACCACTCTTACCACTTCTATTCAACTATAAGTCCTAGCCAGAGCAATTAGGAAAGAAAAGGAGTCCAGACTGGAAAAGCAGCAGTAAAACTGTCCCTGTTTACAAATGTCATGATCTTAAATATGTGGAAAATCCTACAGACTCCAAAAAATCACTTGCACTTTTATACACTAACAATAAACTACCTGAAAGGGAAATTAGGAAAGCAATCCAATTTACAATAGCATCAGAAAGAATGAAATACTTAGGAATAAACTTAACTAAGCAGTGAAAAACTTATACACTGAAAAACACAATGAAAAATTAAAGAAGACACAAATGGAAAGATAGCCTATGTTCACAAATTAGAAAACTTAATTTTGTCAAAATAACCATACTACCAAAAATGATCTACAGACTCAATGCAACTGAAATCCCAATGGCATTTTTTTTTACAGAAATAGTAAAAAAATTTCAAAAATTCATATGGATTCACAAAGGACCCCAGATAGCCAAAACAATCTTGACAAAGAAGATCAAAGCTGGAAGGCAACAAACTTGCTAATTTCAAAATACATCACAAAGCTAAGGTAACCAAAACAATATGATAATGGTATAAAAACAGACACATAAACAACTGGAAGAATAGAATCCAGAAATAAATAGACATATACACAGTCAACTGACCTTTGACAAGGATGCCAAGGAGAACACAATAGGGGAAGGATAGTCTCTTTAACAAATAGCATTGGAAAAACTAGATATCCAGATGTGAAAGAATGAAACTGAACCCTATCTTACACCACACACAAAAATCAACTCAAAATGGATTAAAGACTTAAACCTAAGACCTAAAAGTTAAAACTCCTATAAGAAAACATAGGGGAAAAGCTTCATGACATTGGTCTTGCGATGATTTTATGGATATGATACCAACAGCACAGGAAACAAAAGCAAAAATAGACAAGTGGGACCTGCATCAAACTAAAGAGCTTCTGCACAGCAAAGAAAACAATCAACAGAGTGAAAAGGAAACCTATAGGCTGGGAAAAATATTTGCAAATCATATATCTGATAAGGGGTTAATATCCAAAATATATAACTCCAAAGCAAAAAACAAAACAACAACAAAACAAAACAAAACAAACAAACCGTAATAACCTGGTTTAAAAATAGGCTTAAAGACTTGAATAGACATTTCTCCAAAGAAGACATACAAATGGCCAACAGGTATATGAAAAGATACTCTGGCCAAGGTCAAAGAGGCCTGTGTTCTCCTCTAGGATTTTGAGGTTTCCTGTCTCACACTTAGGTCTTTCATCCATTTTGAATTTCTTTTTGTGTAAGAAAGTGGTCCAGTTTCATTCTTCTGTATGTTGCTCTCCAGTTTTCCCAACATCATTTGTTGAAGAGACTGTCTCTTTTCCATTGGATATTCTTTCCTGCTTTGTTGAAGGTTAGTTGACCATATAGTTGTGGGTTCATTTCTGGGTTTTCTATTCTGTTCCATTGATCTATGCGTCTGTTTTTGTGTCAGTACTATATTGTCTTGATGACTACAGCTTTGTAATTTAGCTTGAAGTCCAGAATTGTGAAGCCTCCAGCTTTGCATTTCTTTTTCAAGGTTGCTTTGGCTATTCAGGGTCTTTTATGGTTCCATACAAATTTTAGGATTGTTTGTTCTAGCTCTGTGAAAAATGCTCACGGTATTTTGATAGAGATTGCTTTAAATGTGTAGATTGTTTTGGGTAGTATAGACATTTTGACGATGTTTGTTCTTCCAATCCATGAGTATGGAATGTTTTTCCATTTCTTTGTGTCCTCTTCAATTTCTTTCATAAGTGTTCTATAGTTTTTACAGTATAAATCTTTTACCTCTTTGGTTAGGTTTATTCCCAGGTATCTTATTATTTTTGGTGCAATTACAAATGGGATTGATTCCTTGATTTCTTTTTCTGCTGCTTCATTATTGGTATACAGAAATGTTCCATCTATCCCTACTTTGCTGAGGGTTTTTATCAAGAATGGATGCTGTATTTTGTCAAATGCTTTCTCTGCATGTATTGAGAGGATCATAGGGTTCTTACCTTTTCTTTTATTAATGTGGTGTATCATGTTGATTGATTTGTGAATACTGAACCAACCCTGCAGCCCAGGAATAAATCCCACTTGGTCGTGGTGAAGAATTCTTTTAATGTATTGTTGGATTCAATTTGCTAGTATATTCTTGAGAATTTTTGCATCCATGTTCATCAGGGATATTGGCCTGTGGTTCTCCTTTTTAGTGGGGTCTTTGTCTGGTTTTGGAATCAAAGTAATGCTGGCCTTGTAGAAGGAGTTTGGAAGTTTTCCTTCCATTTCTATCTTTTTGGAATAGTTTGAGAAGAATAGGTATTAACTTTTCTTCAACTTCTTACTAGACTAGTAAGTCTACTTCTAACTGACTAGACACACCACCAGAGGCAAAGAAAACAAAAGCAAAAATGAACTATTGGGATTTCATCAAGATAAAAAGCTTTTGCACAGTGAAGGAAACAATCAACAAAACTAAAAGGCAACTTATGGAATGGGAGAAGATATTTGCAAATGACTTATCTGAAAAAGGGCTAGTAACCAAAATCTATAAAGAACTTATCAAACTCAACACCCAAAAAACAAATAATCTGGGTAAGAAATGGGCAGAAGACATGAATAGGCACTTTTCCAAAGAAGACATCCAGATGGCTAACAGACACCTGAAAAGATGCTCAACATCACTCATCATCAGGAAATACAAACCAAAACCATGATGAGATGCCACCTCACAACTGTCAGAATGGCTAAAATTAACAAAAGAAACAACAGGTGTTGGCAAGGATGTGGAGAAAGGGGAAACCTCTTGCACTGTTGGTGGGAATGCAAACTGGGGCAGCCACTTTGGAAAGCAGTATGGAGGTTCCTCAAAAAGTTAAAAATAAAACTACCCTATGCTCCAGCAATTTTACTACTAGGTATTTACCCAAAAGATACAAAATACAGATTCAAAAGGGTACATGCACCCCGATGTTTATAGCAGCATTATCAACGATAGCCAAACTATGGAAAGAGCCCAAATGTCCATCAACTGATGAATGGATAAAGAAGATGTGATGTAGATAGATAGATAGATAGATAGATAGATAGATAGATAGATAGAGTATATATATAGAGAGAGAGAATATATATATATAATGGAATATATTATAATATATCAAAAAGAATGAAATCTTGCCATTTGTAACAATGTGAATGGAGCTAAAGTGTATTATGCTAAGTGAAATAAGTCAAAGAAAGACAAATACCATATGATTTCACTCATCTGTGGAATTTAAGAAATGAAATAGATGAACATGGGGGGAGAGTAAAAAGAGAGAGGGAAACAACCCATAAGAGACTCTTAATGATAGAGAACAAACTGGGGTGATGGAGGGAAGTGGGTGGGGGGTGGGCTAGATGGGTGATGGGTATTAAGGAGGGCACTTGAAGTAATGAGCACTGGGTGTTGTATGTAAGTGATGAATCACCGAATTCTACTCCTAAAACCAATTATTGCACTATATGTTTAACTAGAATTTAAATAAAAATTTTTTAAAAAGATGTTCAATGTCATTAACCATTGGGGCAATGCAAATCAAAACCACAGTGAGATATCACCTCACACCTGTTATGATGGCTCTTATAAAATTTTTTTTAAAAGACAAGTGTTGGGCAGACGCGGCTGCCCTGGAGCTGCCCACAATGCCCAGCCATGGTCAATCCCACCGTGTTCTTCGACATCACTGTGGACGGCAAGCCCTTGGGCCGCGTCTCCTTCGAGCTGTTTGCAGACAAAGTTCCAAAGACAGCAGAGAACTTCCTGCCCTGAGCACTGGGGAGAAAGGATTTGGTTATAAAGTTTCCTGATTTCACAGGAATATTCCAGGATTTATGTGCCGGGGCGGGGGGTACTTCACATGCCATAAGGGCACTGGAGGCAAGTCCATCTATGGGGAGAAGTTTGATGATGAGAATTTCATCCTGAAGCACATGGGTCCTGGCATCCTGTCCCTGGCCAATGCTGGACCCAACACGAATGGTTCCCAGTTCTTCATCTGCACTGCCAAGACCGAGTGGTTGGATGGCAAGCATGTGGTCTTCGGCAAGGTCAAAGAAGGCATGAACATCGTGGAGGCCTTGGAGTGCTTTGGGTCCAGGAATGGCAAGACCAGCAAGAAGATCACCATTGCTGACTGTGGACAGATCTAATAAATCTGACTTGTGTTTTATCTTAACTACCAGACCATTCCTTCTGTAGCTCGGGAAAGCGCCCCTCTACCCCCACCTGCTCGAAATACCCCAGAATCTCTGTGCTCTTGCTGCAGTT